CGCAAACGAGGCTTAATTTCTGTGGCAAAAAGACCTCGTGGATTCATCAGTGCTTGGTTGTGCCTGGAAATTCAGTGGCAGCTGGAAATTTGATGGTGACCTCTGATAAGCGAGAAAATGGTGAGGGTTTTGATGAATGACTTGAATCAGGAAATAAATAAGCCAGTCCATGCCAGTCCATCTTTCTGATATTTGTTTTGCTATTAAGTTCAGTTAATGCCGTTCTCATTGTGTCACGATGATTGTGTTGACAGCACATCACGACATAGGAGCATTGCTGGCAGTTTTTGGCCATCAGGGAAGGGGATCCATCGCCTTGGACACACACAGTAGATTGGGAGGTGACTGTAATAGAAAGGCATTTGGAAACCTTTGGCAAGGACGTCAGAGATTGTAAAGATAGAAAGGGTCCCGGTGAACATCTTTGTTCTCTCTCAAACTGGCCACAGGAGGACCTAAATGAATTCCTTGCTGTTCAACAACTTCCTCTTTTTTTTTTTTTTTTTTTTTTGAGGAAAATTTAGTCTTGATTTACATCTAGAAATGAGGATGGGGAAAGTTGCACTCATGGTTGATTACTTTCCTTGCTAAATTGGGCAGTCTGTTCTTAGCCTCAGATTGTTAATTTGCAGTGTTTATTCCCTGGCTCTCGTATCTTTGCTGTGAGGTTTAGGAGCGTTTGTTATGAAATGCTGATTTCCCATGTGAGTATTTATAGACTATGTTTGAGTCACCTGTTAATCTTTCTCTTGGTAAAACCAAACTAAGCTCCTTGTTTTTTCATTGTAAGCCACATTTTCAAGACCTTTTTCACTCTTAATTTTTCCAGTTCAGTGTCTACCTTCTTGGTTGTACAGACCAAGATTACATTCATACTCCTGGTGGTAGCCATTGCCCTGAACTGCTGGCCACCAGCTGTGCCCCGAGGTGCTATTCAGTAGAGAGCAATGGGAACCCATCTAGGCTGTTTTCCATCTGAAAAGTGAACCGACACAGGATGGATGAAAAGAGCTTGAGGGTCAGTGGGCTACCTGGGACAGCCTGCACTTTGCACTGGAAGCTAACCCAAACTCTGTCAAAGGCAAAGCAATGATTTTCCAGCTTTTAGAACATTAAGGGCTGTATAAAAGCTGTTCCTTTCCTCATTCAGAATATCACAGTTGATTAAAACCTTGGCTTTTCAGTCCTTTCTAGTTTCTGGCACCTTCAGTGTTTTCCAGGGAAGGTAAAGCAAATTAACCAGTCACAGGACTGCCACTTTTCTTGGTTATATTGCAGAGCCCACTTAAATATAGTTCCCCTGAGGATCCCCAAGTCGGAGACTGGAAACCCGTGAGCTAAAATACACACAGAGGCAACTCAAAAGGTATCGTGCTGATTTTTTTCTTAAAGCATATTCAGTGCTTGGGTGACCATCCCGGTAAAGCTTCACAAGTCTCTGCAGCTCATTTCGGATCCCTGCGGTTCATCCGGACAGACTGCAATTCTATGGCCCATGCGTCAGGAGAGAGTTGGAGCAATCCCTGAACAACCTTGACTAATGCCATAATGAGCTAATGGCAGCTTTGGGAAGCTCTTCAATACGGCATAATGTTCAACCTTGATCCTTTAACTAAGTTTGCTTTAGGCTTCATGAACACAAAATTGCTTATTTGACGTAGAAGCTCCCGTTAGACTTTTCAGAAGCAATTTAGATGTTTGTGGTTGAATTCATAAAGGTATAGAGGTGCTTTGTTTCCTTTGAATTTGGTGGAAATTAAGTGCTTTTAATTACTTTTACCAATCTGAGCTTTTACTTAGCCACCTCTGCTGTGTTTTAATGCTTCCATGCTCACATCTCTTTAGCCCCTTGGCTAATGGAAACAGAGGAGAAAGGGAAACAGAATATGTGACTATATCTCAGTCACTTCAGTGCAAAGTCTGCGAGGTTGGCTCTGAGTGCTGAGAAGCTGAGCTAAACTTTTTGACTCTCCAGCAAAGCAGATGAAGGGCATATATGTTTTCCACACAGTACTTAGCTAAAGGGATTGTAATGACCAGTGAAGCATCAGAATGAACTTTTAGGGCAATAACATCTTAAACTCAAAGTGCAAATATTAATGCTTGAAGGTTTGGTGTTTGGGTTTTTTGTGCATGTGCATGGGTTTTTTTGTTCTTTTGTTTGCTTCTTTGTTTGTTTTTAAATGAAAAAGACTTACATACATAAAAATATTTTTCCTCTTTCTGTCAGCTTGAACTCACTGACTTGGTACTTTTGTGCCCAGGAGCAAATTTCCACAGGAAAAGATATTTTTAAAATACTTTTTCACAGAAAAAGCATCCCGAGGTTCCCTCACAGCATTACCTCAAGCAGAAAAATCGATCAAACAAAATATTCACTCAATCCCTCTTAATCATATGAGCAGAACATTTTACTGTGGCCAATTGAACAAAGCATCTACAAAGAGAGATGAAGAACAACCAGCACAGCAGAGGGAAGGAAACGACTTTCATCTGGGAGGGAGTGGGAGAGCAAAAGGAGGTTTGGGTGAGAAAGCTGTGGTGGAGAAGGTTTCTGCGCTGAGGGGCTGTGTTAGAGAAAGAAGAAGAGCAGATGCTGGGTGATCAAGGGAGCCCCAGAGGGGAGCAGAGGAGGACTTGGTCTGTATGATGTGGCTATTTGATGCTGTGATGCAGACTTCCGCACTGGGGGAAGAGCCGCAGTTAGATGAGAAGAGGGCTGAGATTTCTTTCAGGAGAGGTAGAAAAAGAACAAAAATGTCTTTTTTTTTTTCTTTTTTTTTTTTTTTTTTCCCAAGGAACCACATGGGGAGTTGGTGGAACGTGTGTGAATGTTGGCTGCATTCCTAAAAAGCTTATGCATCAAGCAGCCCTTTTAGGGAGTGCCCTTAAAGATGCCCAACGCTATGGCTGGAACATATTCTATTTTTTTTTTTTTTTTTTTTTTTTTTTTTTTTTCCCATCAGATTTGGCTAAGAAAGGGATGGGAGGGACAAGAAGAGTCAGAAGACAGACTGCTGGCAGAGTCTCTGTGAAATTTATTACTGCATCTCACCGTATTTTCTACGTTCAGCAGCAGGCCAGAGAGGAAATGAATGGGATTATTTTAAAGTAATTTTCCCTCCAACATATTTACTTCCTAGAATGATAGCAAAGAAAATGTTGACATGCCAGACTTAATGGGATCCCTTGTTTTGTACGGTGTGGTCATTTACTCCTACATTAGACTACATATTTCTCCAGTCAGCGCAGCAAAACACTCGAACTGTGGAGAGATATTTACTGTTTAGAGAAGTACTTGGACACCTCAGCAAACTTTGTCTTGTTTCTCTGTCCAAGAGCTATATATAGACTTTGCTCAATCAAGGTCTGAGCAGCTGCTGCTGCTCGGATGTTGTGTGAACAGAGCTAAATAGTTTTAAGAGTATAAAAAAGTAACAAGATAACTCCAGCTATTTTGCTCTGAAAGAACCAGGTGTTTGTCTCGCTGCATAGTAAGAGAGTAAAGAGAAACTACCTTAAAGGCACATTTATCTGTGCTATTTCTTAGTCTGAAATCAACAGAGACTGGCAGATATATATAATGCATCTTAAAAACTTTAAGACTTATAACACCTCTGTGAAGCTACTTAGTTACCTTTTACGTTTCCTCGTGTTCTTTACCTTTTATGTTTCCTTGTGTTCTTCACCTCATGACACCTCATGGCTCACACTATAGCCAATGCCTACAGTTATATGTCATCTGACTCTCCTGGGCTCGACCTGAAGCTGATCTATAGGTGCTACGATAATATTGATATTCTATAATCATAGCAGGATAACAAAAATTCCATCTGACACTGAAATGCTGCTATCTTGGCTGTAAAATGTGGCAGTACATAATAATATAGGCCGACAGCTACCCTAACTAAACTGCCTTTTTCTCAGCTGAAATTTGACCAGGAAGCTTGATGTATGAAGGCTCCTCCTGCAAAACTGCTTGGAAGTTTTTGATGACTTAGAGTAATTAAGGGTCTGTTTCCATTTCTGCTGGTGGATAGACAATAGGACATGAACAAACAGGGAATCCCCTCTATCCCTTTTTTTCCCCCCTCCCCAAACTGTCAGACACGAGAAGGATTTGCGGGACAGGAAGATGCACAGAGAGTGGGAGATTAGGAAAATGATGTGTATGACCAGCCGTGTGGGTGAGGATCGGGATCTGCAGTTTGAAATGGTACAGAAACGGGTTTCTCCTTACCTAGCTGGGGAGTTGGGTCAGGAAAGACCCAGGGGTTTGGATGGGTTAGGGGTGAAGTAGTCCCTGACACCGTCCCCTTGTGTCACGGGACAGTGTCCTCTGGCAAATTGCTTTGTCTCTCACTCTCCCTCCTGGAAAATACCCCCCTGACATAAAGTTCACGTTGACATGAAGCACGGGCCGGCGTAAGGGACAGACAGCACGGAATTAAAACAACCAGCTGTGCTTCGCTTATCAAAATAGAGCCTTTAGAGGAACCCGAGTGCTGATTTCCCACTCACTCAGCCCAGGACACCCCCGCGGCCCGACGGGAGGCGCCTTGCTTTTAAAAACACGTGGCCAATCTGGGGGACAGACGACAAGCCCCAGGGGGAGCCGGTCCAGAGCTGGGGGTCCCCCCTCGTGTCCCCGTGCCCCCCCGCCTCACTGCTGGGGGTACAAGCCCCCCACGCCGTAGGGTTTGCCGTGGACATCCCCGCTCTCTCTAACCCCGTTCCCGGGGCGAAGCCGCTTCCCGCCGCCTCCGCCCTTCCCTCGAGGGGGGGGACGAAGGACCCATCCCTCCGCCCTGGGGCTGCCCCGGCCCCTACGTGCCCGATGGGGAGAGGGGGGAGCGGGGCGGGCCGGGGGAGGGCCGGGGGAGGGTTCGACCGGCTGCGGCTCCCCGGCCCGGCCAACCCGCGGCGACCGGGGCTGAGCCATAAAAGAGCCGGGAGCCGGCGGGGCCGCGGCTCCAGCTGGCCGCACCCGTGCCCGGCTCGCCTTCGGGGTGGGCAGCCCGGCTGGCCCCCTCCTGTCGCCCGGCAATCCCCTGGGACCGGCGCCGGGTGCCCCCCCCTCCATCCCCGACCCCTTCCCCTCCCCGTCCCGCCCGCCGCCCCCAAGATGCTGTTTTGGCACACGCAGCCGGAGCACTACAACCAGCACTCGACCGGCAGCTACCTGCGGTGAGTCTCCGCCCGACCCGGGTAGCGGGGAGCCCCCGGGGGTGCCCTGGGCAGGGGTGTTGGGGGGGAGAAGCTGAGCTCCATCCACCTCCGGCCATCCCGAAAGCAACCCGCTGGCCGGGCTGCCTTGGCGGTACCCGGAGCCGCAGCATCGCCCGGGGTTAGTGCCGATAACTCGTATTTCTCAGAGGTGTAGGCACTTTTTCCTTTTGTTTCTTTTTTTTTGTTTGTTTGTTTTTCCAAAAAGTTTTTTTTTCTTTTCTTTTTAGCGCTTAGTTAGACATCTGCAGTTTTGCTTGATTGCTTTTCCCGGCTTCCTCTCTCTTCTCCGAGGCTTCAGGTAGCGCGGTGCGACGGTTGTGGGGCACCGTCAAAAGTCTCTGGAAAACCTCTGTTGGCAAACTGAGAGGGCATCCAGTTTTCTCAGGATGGGATTTCTTTCTCCTCTTTTTGGGACGACGGGTAAAAAGCTCGGAATTTCACTTTCTGAACTTGTCTAAACCAGCTTTTTCCTGCCTCACACAGTCGTGTTTAATTAAATGTGCCTAATTTAAGCACAAGGGCTGCTAAACAATAGTCTGTAACATGTGTAGCACAAACCCGTATTTCCTCCCTCCAAAAGACAACAAAGCAGGCAACTTTGGGAGTTTCCCTTCTACTGGGTGCTTATGAATTATTATTTTTTTTCTGAATATGTAAATCTGAGCTCTCAGCTGGTGTCAATTGCTGCTGCTCCTCCACAGAAGTGCAATTTTGCTGAATTGCAGCAGGGGAGAACCTGGCTGTGGCCCAAGAGCCTTGCTTTCAAAATGTACCCCCAAATAACCACTCTTGAGAGAACATGGAGTTTGTCTGGCGAGGCACTTCAAACACAGATAATACTTTCTTTTCAAGGAGACACGCAATCTTAACTGTTCCTGCTCCCTAACAGTGTGTCTTGACTGACTAATATTTCCCATTATCAAATGATACAGCATCGTGAGATTTCTTGCAGCTTCCCTGTTTCTTCATACAAGGTACTTTATCTCCTCCTTCTATCCCGGTAACTCTATTTTAATGACATGTATGTGGCAAAAGTCTTGTTCTGTCTTGCTTTACGCCTGCAAACCTGTTTAGTTGAGGACAGTGAGAACGGTAGTAGCTGATGAGCCTCAGCGTTGGTACCTGTGCATATGGCCTCTGTGTTAGAGCATTTACAGTGCTCAGGTGGCTTCATTAACACGATGGATTTGTGGCACCAGAGTGCTACAAGATCATCAAGGCTGGATCGGGCTCAAGCCCACAATTCAAATTTCTTGGAATTGACCAGAAAACACATTGGATTATTTCTCCTGACTTGAAAGCTGGCAGGGGGAATAAAGGATACCTGGTCTGGTAGAAAGGCTGCTGGTATGAAGGTAACCTGTTGGTGTTTTAGGAACAAACTTCAGATTTCCTGAGTATCTGCCACTGTGACTGTGATGATTTTGATCTGGAACTAAACGCCCTAAAACCAGTTTTATGGCAGCAATGGCCTCAGGTGTTTCCGTGAGGGTCAGTTGAATAAAACCCTTCCTTTTTTGTAGAGATCTCTTATTCCAGCCAGTTCACTCTCCATGGGAATGTGTCAAGACATGCGTTTCTAGAGGGGCATTCTTCTGCTGAGATGTGCTTTTCTGAGGGTTCTCTGTACCCACTTGTAGTGATTTTTGGGAGGAAGCTGAAATAGTACAGCCACTGAAACAGCTGTAGGAAAAGTTTGTATCAATTATACTTTGCAGAGATCAAAGGCTTTGCATGTACCTTAGACATCTGTATAAATTCTGCCGTACCGCAGTGGTATTTGTAGTTATAGCAAGACAATACTACAGAAAAATCCTTGTAAATCCCCATTTATTTTTATGGTAACCCTGTATGTATTTCATTCTCTGTTCTGCTGGATGGCTGAACTGTCTCAAATAATTTTCTCCTTTCCTAAGTAAGCGGACTAACCCCCGGTTAAGACCAGAACTGTAAAGTTTTACCATAAAGGTGAAATTTGGGAGAGTTTTAAGAGCTTCCACTTTTTTTTTTTTTAAAGAATGGAACTGTTGTAAAAGCTTGTTTTTTCCAAAACTTTATTTAGAATTCTTGAGCGAAGAGAGTTGAACAAATATTATGGTGTCTTGTACACTGCTAGCTTAAAATTCTTTTAAGCCATGATTTGTTGTTCACAGCCTTCTAAGTTCTGAACACTTTTAATAAGGTGAACTATTTCAGAAGAGCTTCATCTAAAGCCACAGATACCACTGCCCACTAGTTCAAATGCTATAGGAATAAAAAAAATTATTAACTTGTGTGGCTTCATCAGTGGTTTAATATGGCAAAGCTTTCCAGAAACAAAATCACAGATTCATCCATGCTTACAGTTTTCAGTGGTCAGACAGCTGTTCCAGCAAGTCTATGGGGTGTTAAAATCCTGATGAGAAATACGATATTTGAATTTTGACTTCCACTTGCCTAAACTTCTCGACTGCTTCAGGTGTACAAATTCCTCGCCCTTAACTGTTATAAACCTGGGCCAGATTTTGTGTGCTGTATTGTGCAGAACTGCAGAAGCTTTCAGGCTTCAGAGTTTTTGATTTGTTCTCATGTGTAAACCAAGATACATTCCAATAGCATTGTGTAGATGAGCACCTTAAGAGCGAATGTTGGCAACCTGGGTAAGCGAGATGACTCTTTGAAGCAGTATCAGATCCTGCATGTGTGTGGAGCAAAGCTATCTATTTCAGAAATCTACTGCAGGCTTTTCTGTCACTTCATTACTTCAGTAAATCATCATCACTAAGGGGAAAAAAAATCCTCTCTATGGCTGCAGTTAGGCAAGAGCTGTGATTGTGTCAGCAATGCCAGTAAGCAAATGGGGGTGGATGCCTTCGAGTTGGTGATAATATGGAGGAGGTGGGGTTGGAAGAGAGAATGGAAAGAGAGGTGGGTCTTTCTTTTCCCCTTTCTGTATCTGGAAGAGCACAGTTTGCTCTCTGGGTTTATTTTGCCATAAATAGGAGTACCTGTGTTTGAGCCAGGTACTTCAGCAGTTTGGTATAAACTGCTGCACAGTTTCACTGATGACCTGGGTAGCCTTCAAGGTTGCAGGTGCTATGAATGAACTCAGGGTGGATCATTAACTGAACAGGCAAGGAAAAAATTGTTAATGCTCTTTCCATAGGGAGCTTGCCCGTACATGCTGGTATGTTCCTGAACAGCTTTTCTTAAAGTTTTTTATGTACGAGACTACTGAACAGTGCTGATCTTCGGCCTCTGTAATGGAAATCTCATCTTCACACATCTGGAGGAAGTGGAGGAGAAAAACAATAATCACTTCTTATTCTGAACTGTCTCTGTGTTCAACATAATCCTCCTAATTTGGAAGGATATTAATGTCTTAAGTAGGTGGACGCAATGATCAGAAATGTTAGCAACGTGGGAAAGGCTAATGTGGTTCTTCAGTATCAGACATGCTAAGATAAAGATGCTTATTCCTGACATCTCATTTTGTGCTAATCATTCTGTTGTGCTCTCAGCCTTGTTAATACCAGTTCTGCTTGGGGATTAGCGTGGGTTGGGGTCAATCTGACACTAAATCAGCAGGCAGGTCACCATGAACATCTTGTAAAGGATCCAGAACTGGAACACTGCACAGGTTTTACTGAAGCTGCCCCAGAGCACCCATGTGTGCACTTATGAAGCTCTTAAGAACTATATGATTCCTTGGGACCAGGTTTATTAGAGTGCAAGGAGATGTTGTGAGTCAATTAATCCAGCAGTTTGTGCCATCATTTACCTGAATGTCTCCATTTTGTACCAGAGCTGTGTCTGTTCCTCACCCTTGGCTATAATGTAGACATTTTACTGATCTGACATACAGCTATCAAAATAAAATGCCCTTTCTTGCTGTTTTTTTTTTTTTTTATTCCTGAAAGTCTTTCATCTGAGAACCCAAGAACTCTTAAACAAATGTATTTCCACAAGGATGAAGAATCTATTTTTGATAATATTTTTGTCTTATCAGGAAGACTATTTAACTGAAAAGTAAATCTGATTTATGTTTTTAAAATATAAATTAATTCTCAGAAATATTCTATTTTGCTAATGCTGTGTTCTTTTGTGTCTAGTGCTGACATCCTAGAGGTAGAAGGTGCCTCGTTACATTATACAGGCCAAATTCTTTCTTTTTTAACCATCATAATTCGGTGTTTCTCCAGAGACCATCTCCATTATCTCAGAGCATAAGAATCCAATGCAGATTGAGGTGAGACTATTCTGAGCAGTCTTTGTTACTAAACGTGTGTGTGTTGTATGTTGCAGAGATGTCCTTGCGCTGCCCATCTTCAAGCAGGAAGAACCGCAGCTGTCTCCTGAGAATGATGCCAAACTGCCCCCCTTTCAGTACGTCCTCTGCACAGCCACGTCACCTGCTGTGAAGCTGCACGAAGAAACCCTGACCTACCTCAACCAAGGTAGGGCTTGTACTGCACCGGAGGAGGGCATATTTCCTGGGAACAGTCCATGAGAGAGAGGTCGAATCCCATACTTGTGCCTTACTGGGAGGGCAGTGGGATGGGAGAGAGATGGGGAGGGGGATGGAGGAAAGGAGAAATATTTAATTTTTCACATTTATATACTAGATTGTCAACTGATATAAAATAACAAAATGCCATTGATTTAACTGTTGACTTAAAGCAGCATTATGGCATGCACTCTTTTCTGTAGCCAGGTACTGGCTTGATCTCAAACTTTTTAAACTGCAGCCTCCTACCTTCATTTTAAAAAGCAAGATTAACTAAGCGGATTGGCAAACCTTGGGCTGGGGTGGGCTCTTAACATTGCAAGTATCCAAGTGCTGCTGGAGAGTATTGCGAGAGGATGAGTTAGCAAGTATCCAAGGGCTCCTCGGTGGTCTGGGAGATGGTGACATCGCTCTTGCTGGCCGGGGGATGTGACAAGTTGCTGTGGTTCAGTGCAGCCAGGTCCTCTGTAACTGACCTCATAGGCTAATTTTTACTCCTGGCTAAACAAGCACTGTGTGTTTCTCTAGGTTTTTTTTTTCTTTCCTGCTGTGGCAGAATTTTTGCTGACACATCTGTGGTTGGAGTTTGGCTGTTGCTTTGCAGCACCTCCTGCATGTGTGTCCTGTAGGGACTGGACTTCTCCAGGCACAGATTATGCTAAAATTTACTATGCTTATTTTCTGCCAGGTTGCTAGGCTAATGCCCTTGTTTACAACAAGCTGAAGGCCATCTGCCCTTTGTAACTGAGATCTCCTCCTGCTTCAGGACACTGTCCCAACTCTTCAAGCTTTGTGCACTGAGCATGAAGCTCACTCAGGTGCTGCTCTGGCTATGTTTCTCTCACTGTTTTGTACAAAGGAGAGCTGTGCCCTCCTTTTGGGCTCTGACCTGAGGTGCATCTGGCTGCTGGATCTGTGTTGCTAGCTGGTGGACCCGTGGAGCCCCCCTAGGAAGATCAGCCAAGTGCTGCAGGCTCCATCCAAGGAGCCAGATGTTTCCTGTCGCATAAGCTGGTACTGTACGGTCTCACAGATCAAAAGACTCTTGAGATATGTGGCTGTCTTCCCAGTTTATCCTTCCAAATACAGCCGACCCCAGAAAGTGATAATGGGGCGTATCAAGGGTGAGATGGAGATGAACCATACTGTGAAACACTAAATTATTTCTTGTTTGAGAGAGATATATTTTTTTTTTCCTGTTGTGAAAAGCAGTCGATGGACAAGTATTTTAGTATACATAAGGCAGTGTCTGCTTTTTTACTTTGGTAGGGCAAAAATTAGACAACTTTTTACACAGTACCATGCGTTTTAAACAAACTGTGTGACTAGAGCAGTTCAGATTTTCCTATGTACAGTAAGACTGTTAGTGCCTTTGCAGATAGACGATGTTACGTTAGACCTTCTCCTGCTTACTATTGCAATCAGTTGTGTCCTCCTCCACCTTAACACAGTACTGACCTGTTTCCTTAGGAGACTACCAGTTCTCTGTCTTCCATTCCTGAAGGGATAAGGTGGGATGTGTCCTTGCAGAGTACAGGAGCATGAGTCTGGACAGGGCTGGAGGAACAAAAAAGGGATGAGGCTGGCAGGAGCTGTGCAGTGGGGCAGAGAGAAGTGGGAACTCCTTAGTGCTGTTGACTTGCCACAGTGGATAGAAACAGAACCTTTTCCTAGAGGGTCTTGGAGTGACTAGTAGTAAAAGGTAGTGCATCTCCTGACAGCTGAATGGCTTACTGCTTTCTGTTCCTCTTGGCAGGACCTTTGCATCTGCCTGCCACCTTCTCAGGAGCATCCTCTCCTCATTTATTTAAGCTCCCAAGCAATTTGTCTTCCTTGTTACAGTGATATGATCTAGGTCTCTTGAAAATTCAAAGCCTCTTGAAATTTAAGGTGCTCTGTATTTAGATGATTTTTTTTTTTTTCTTGATCTTGCAATGTACCTACTTTAAAAGTCATTCTGCTCCACTCCAGCAGGTTGCTTCAGAGACCACACCATCGGCTGCACCCTTGATCCCATCCCAGCAATGACCCTTGCCGGTAGCAAGGGCAGGCTGTGATTGATATGTGGTCTACCTTGATACTAAGTCCCTTAGACAGAGATCCTTTGCCTGTGCTAGTTAGGAAAATGGGACTGGAGTCTGCTCCCACATGGATATGAACTGCTGTGAGAAGCTTGTTTGTCCTTTGAAGGTAACTACAGATATGGGGAGAAGACGATGCTGGACACACCTTTCAACCAGCCATGGTCAGAGACAGGGAGTCTAACTTCTGTTGGTGGGGTATGAGTGAGGATGTTGCCTGGGGATAAGAAGAGATGAGGATTTGTCTTGCAAGACAAAGAATCAGTGTGAATTAGCAGGTAACCTCACGTTTCACTTAGAGGTTTCTGTTTAGTAACTTCTACATAAAAGGGTATTTGGTCTTTTTCATAACATCCTTGCACATTCTTCATGCATTGACTTTCTGGAATAAAAAATAGGAGTTGTGTCTGTTTAAAAGCAAAAATTAAAGTGTTTGAGTCAAACTTTCTTCTCCTTTCAGCAACACTTCTCTGTGGGAACCACTTTTGATTGTTGAGCTATATAGTTTCCCAGCAGGTACCTGTTGTGTAGGTATTTTCCCATCCCTTCTGCAAAACCAGAGGAGGGTGCTGCAACTCTTTACTTTGACCTGACCGACACAAGCCAGGGAATCCCAGACTGATCTCAATTATCCTGCCTGATATAGAGCTAAGTGTGAGTTAAAGGCTCTGATAGAAAATTAATCCCATTAATAGAATTATGCTATATGAGCCTGAGGAGGTATGTGAAGCCAATACTCATGGCGTTGGGACTCTAAGGGACTTAGTATCAAGGTAAACCACATATCAGAAGAGCTGTCTGATGCCAGAGCACTGTGACCCAGCTGCAGTGCCATAGCTGCCTCATGAAGCAGTTTAGACCGTTCCCTACACCTTATCACCTTATGCTGGCTGTAAGCAACGGGACACCTCTTGCACCTTACCCTCTTTCTGTGCTTATCATGGTCTGGCCAAACACCATTACACAAAACTTCCCTTCTCCCTTGTATGCTTGAGTTTTGTGATGGATTACCTTAGCAAATGGGTAAGCTCATTAATAGATGTCCCTCCACCTCCTCTGTGCTGGTGTGAGCTTCAGTCATAGCTGGCTCCTACTAAGGCAGGTACAAAGACACACTGGCTGTCCCAGCTCCAACAAAGCAATCCACATCCTGTGTGGTTGGTTACCCAAATTGTGAGGTCTGAGTTTGGGGTATTCTGCTTGCTGGGTGACCCTTGCCACTTGCTGTCCAAATGGTCCTTCCGTTTTTGAGCTCTTTGCCACCTGGAAACTGACCTTTTGTCACTGTGAAGCAGTTCTGCTCTCTGCCCTGAAACACTTACTCCACATGTGATTGGTTCAACATTGGTTAGTGAGTGGACCAGCTCAGGAGATAGTCCATGTACATAACTGGATAGAAGAAAGGTCATATCTCATAGAGCTATGGAGTGGAGAAAGTGGAAGAACTGGGTAGCAGATTGAAGGGCAAGTTGCATAGCAGAGATAGAAGAGGAACTGGTGGAGAGAGTCAGGTGATATCTGAAAGGGTTCAATAAGGGCTAGGAAGAAAAGCTGTCCAGTGGCTGTGTTTGTGTACAAATGGGAGAGGGCTTCAGGCTTGTGGAGCATAATGACTTTTCATGAGCCTTGCTTCTTGCTGGATAGACCCGAAGAGATGGTTGGTGGCATTGAGGAGGAAGAGGTCTTTGGCCTGGGCTCTCCACAAGGGTGAAAGAAGAAACTGGAAGGACTCCTAAGCTGGAGACCAGTGTTTTCAGCAAGGGCAAGAGAAACATTTGTGTGGGAGCATAAGGGAGTGAGCTTAGCTGTTGTGTTAAGTTGACTTGGGGACATTCAGCAGTGGCAGGCTCCCAATCTCGTCCGCTCCAGTTTGAAACTGAGTGCTCGCTGGCTGCAGCTCTAGAACTAGCCTGTAAATGAAGTAACTAGAGTCAAATCTTTAGCTTGGTTTCCAAAGACTGACTCACTACACTTGTCCTTCCTGGTCTCTTCTCCCCTGCCTTCCCACATTTGTTGGGAAACTGGAGCCAGAGGCCTGTTAGCCCAAATTGAATATGATCTTCATTTGTTAATCCTTAGGGCAGTTCCTATGTTAAGAGATCTTTACTGGACCTCAGGAGGATTACTCATCCGATGGGACAAATTATGGACTTGTTAGTATGGTGTCTTAACACTACTCCAATTGCAGTCCCCACAACTGGTAAAGGTGCCGTGTCCTCACATTAGAAGCTGCTGCTTGCATCGCTCCTTTGGTCAGGGATTGTGTCTGTCAGCAGAGCTACACTGTCCAGAAGACTGCAGCACAAACATCTCCTAACGTTTTTGGAACTAGCCCGCCTTTTAGCACTATTTCAGTGTCTCTTGTGGATAGGGATTTTCAGACAAACAATCAACCGGCAACCATATTACAAACCGCTGCTTTAGCAAGAGGGCTTGATGCAGTTGCATATTCCATGGTCTGCAGTCATATGGGGTGTGGTTTGACCAGCGCTGGTTGAAACTAGTTTCAAGCATGGACAGAAATGGGAGCAATGGAGGTAGTTCCAGAAATTGCACTGGGAGGAATGCGGAGGAAACAAGCACTGTACAGTAGATCTGCATGCTAATAAATGTGAGGAAATAAAATCATTCCTTTAGAAAACAAAATGCCAAAAACCTGAAAGTCGTTGCCCAAGGGAATTAGCTCATAGTGCCAGAACCACATGCAGATTGTGAGCTATTCAAGTAATGATTTTGTTTCATGACCAGCATTGGGTTGGCTCAGAGCCTCGTATCTAAACTACTCCAAATAGAGAGTGGTTAAGGTTGATGGCAGGGGGTCACTGAGAGCAGGGTGTGTGACAAATCCAGCCCTGTTCCCCAGTGGTAC